TTTCTTCAGTCGTGGGAGAGCGGGCTTTCTTAGCTGTGTTGACCTGGGAGACACAGGTCCTTAGGGCCTTTTCTGTTCAGTGGCACCCTGGTTCTGTTTTCCAGGCTGGTTGAACACTACTTTGACTTTTACCGAGTGCATTACGTCAGTACCCTTTGTTTATGGGACAGTAAATAGAGAACTGTTTGCTCCCACTCATGCCTAAGATCATGAAAAGAAGGGTAGCTTTTGCCTTTGAAACACTGCAAATAGAATGATATAGTAGGTAACAATCACTAGTTTTAGTAATTGTACAAAGTCGATGTGCGTCTTCCATAAAGTGCTGTGGCAGTCTTCGTGGACCTTTCCTGTGCTCCAGGGAAGTAGTGCGCCTGTGCCTCCCCTTGGCTCCTTGAGTTTCCTGGAACCTCGCCTGCTGGGCCGAGGGGAACCTGAGACTGACGAGCCAACATCTCAGGTTTGCGTGGAACAGCACTAACCCCAAGCCCTGGTTTGCTGCTTTTTGTTTATTTTTCACTTTCCCTTTGCTTCTCTCCACCTTAACCAAGATTGCTTTTCAATCCTCTGACATCCGCTGTCTGCCCGGGGCCTGTCTGGATAGGGTCCCTTATCTCGTGCGCCCCGGGCCTTATAGAGGGGTGTGCAGCGTTTGTTCCCTGGGCCTCTTTTAGAGAGCTGTACTCCCCCTTTCTTCTGTCCCACCCACATTTCATGGCAACAGTGAGGGGCCTGCTGACATCTTTGACAAATTCTGCTCCCAGCGTTTTTATCTAATTGCCTTGTTTTGTATCGCCGAAGATCCAGATGAAGGTTTCAGGTAGTAGCAGGAGCCAGGCACAGGGAGGAGCTAAGCATTTGGTGAATGAAGGGAGGAGAAACTGAGCTGGTTAATCATGGAGAAGGCCGTCTTATGAAATAGTTACTTCCTGACTAATAGAATCATGTAAGAAGTAGCCCCAAAAAGGATTCCAAGTTTGGGTTGGAAGGCTGTCCTAGGTGGTTTGTGAGGTTCCCTCCTACCTTAAGTCAGGGAGCTGACACTTTTGAGTGTCTGTCACAACCTCGTAAAATCCCTTTTTCTTAACAACAAAAAAAAACAAAGGAGAGAGACCCATAGACTTGTGCATCCCAAGTAGGACGTGGCAGAGCCAGGATTTGCGCCCTGGTCTGCCGGGCTCCCGTGGCTGGCTCCTCACACGTCACGGTGCGGTCATGCAAGTCAGTCTGTTTGCCAGGCCCAGACTCCTGCGGTGACACCCCAGAGTAGACCTGCAGCTTTTGCTGTGACTGTTGTATAGTAAACCTTTCCCACTGGGAAGAAATACATCCCAAGACCTTGTGAATCCCCAGTTTAGAAATGCGGTAATAACATGAATTCTTACAAAAGGCGTAGTAACGTAAAACAGAAACGTTTTATATGGCCCCTCCAAACTCTTTTTGAGAGTTACTGTTGCTAAGTAGTAAGAAGACACAGAGACCAGTAATTGCCAGTGGTGGGGGCAGTGGGGTCCCTCCTCTGTGCCCTTACGGCCTCTGGATTTGTGGAGCCCGGAAGGGCTGTAGGAGTTGCTTCCTCCAGCAGCTCCGTCCTGCCCTTCCCTCCTCTCCTTTCCCTAGAGGCTGGCAGTTTATTAGTGGTTCATGTCCTATCTTGTCATTTACTTTTTGAAAATTTAAGGACTGACTGAATGCCGCTTAAATAGACTGGGTTGAAAGGGAACGTGAATTGATTGCGTGTTTTTGTGGGGTGCGGGCAGGGCCTGGTTAGGTGGGTGGGAGAGGGTTAGAACAGTTGTGCCATTCTTTAGTTTTTCCTCTTGTGCTTACGAACCAGGATTATGTTTTTGGGTTTTGGTTTTAGTTTATGATGATAATCTTTTATCTGGATCAAATCTTTAAAAAATTACTTCATGTTTTCTGTTTCTTCTCTGATATGCAAATCAGTTATTTATTTCTAAAGGACTATCAGTGACTGGAAAATAAAATATATGGTGCCTACTAAAATTTGCAGTGGGGCTGTGACTCGGGAGCTCAGCCCTCCTGAGCACCCTTACTGCTGGGGCGGCAGAGAGAGCTCTGTGTCTGCGAGGTAATGAAGTCAGCCTTCTTTGTTTTCCTTTGCTGTAACGGCTGACAGTTCAGGGATTGTCTGTGTGGCTTGCCTGATGTCCTCCTCCTGTGTGACACCATTGTCTGCCTGGACTTGGCGCTCCACGCCTCACGCCTCAGGGGGAGCTCTCGCTGGCTGGCCGGGCTGAGCCCGGGTGCTCTTCAGGGCTGTGGAGTAAAGGCTGCTCTTTCCGTGGAAGCTGCACGCGCTCTCTGGTCCCGGGCTTCGTGGGATGGAGTGGTGGCAGCGGGCTGTGAGGTCTCATGGGGTCCTGCAGCAGCCAGAGCGTGCCGCAGCTAAGGAAGGGAAGAAAGGTGATGGCCGGAGCCCACAGATGTGCTGCTGAGCTGGGGGAGGGCTGTGTGGCCTCCGGCAGCGTGGACGGTCGGTCGGTGTCGGCATGAGTCAGTTAGCCAAGTTTTGGTCGTGTGTTTGTGGAAAAAGTTAAGTGTGACTTGGATTGTTTGGATGGAAGTATTATAGAACTTGTCTTTAGCACTTATTTGAAGATAATGTTTGAGAGTAGTTGTTGAAATTAACCAACTTAACCATCTGAATGAATGTAGCTTTTTGGCACAGAATGCTTTGGCATGGTTTTTGGTACATTCTTACAGGAAGCTTTCATATCTGTGTATATGCTTGATACTATGATTGAGGAAATGTCATTTTATTCTTCTGCTCATTCTCGCACTAGTGATGTTTTCTCAGTTGTTTTCCTCTTATATCTCATAGGAGCTGTTTTTCTGTTTTATAAAATAGGCGTATAGGTTTTCAAGCATGCTCTAAGCAGTGTTCCTAATAGTTTCTAACATTTGTGATTAAGACAAAGTCATATAGCTTAACTTTCATTTTAACATTGGAAAAGGACTTTTTGTCTTACACATCTGTGACAGATTTTATTTGTAACTTTTGCTTAGTGCAAGGACCTGTTGTACTCGGCTTACTTCATGTTATGTTTGGAGGGTAAGTTCTGATCTGAAGTCTACTTCTCTGATGAGGCAGCGGCTGGGTCACACTGTGTTCTCTGTCCACCAGTCCTTTGGCATTTGTGTCCAATGAGTATTTCTTCGAAGGAAGACATTGGAATTGTAGGATCGGCACCCAGATTTCCCCACAAAGGAATGAACTCCCTCCTCCCCCGGCTCGCTCCACCAGTCTTCCGTGAATAGACCCATTCAGGAGCGAAACCAGAGTTCAGGGTCACAGTGAAAGAAGCTCTGATTCTCTCCGTCTTAAATAGTGTAGTATGTAAGTTATTTAATCAGGTTTGCATTTACTTACGAATGACTGTACTCTCTCCTTAGAGTACACAGAAAACAGTAGTTACAGAAGAATAATCTGTGTTGCGTGTATTAATGCTGAAATCTAAATTTAGCTTAATGACTACTTTTAAAAGTTTAAACATACGTTTTGATTATTAAAAATCGGGGAGAAAACTGAATGCGTTCGATATCTTTATTCTGTGTAATTTCTTTTGTATGATTAATTTAGGGTGATTTGTTAGTTTTAGAAGACAAGTAGCACGTCCTAGTGCATGTAGAAGGTCCTCAGAAAATACACGTAATAAGGTTTTCTGGCTGGATCTAACAGGTCACTGAGGAATGGTTGTCACTTTCTTCCCTCGTGTCGGGTCCCATGGACCCTGACTCCTCCCCTGGCTTGGCAGCTGGAGAAGCAGTGTGGTGCGGTGCAGCATCAGAGAGGTCTGGGCTCGCGTCCCGGCTCCGCTGCTCGCCAGCTGATTGATTTTGGATAGTTATGTAACCCCTCTAAGCTTCAGTCTTTTCCTCTGTAACAGGAGAAGTTCTGGCGAGGATTAGAGACACTGTGCGGGGAGCACCCTGCTCCGTGAGTGAGGGCAGCGAGCACTGGTACTTACTGCTCCGCCTCACTGCACCCGGCTCCACCTGCACATGCGGCGCTGCCCGCCCGCCCTCGAGGAGCCTGCTCTTGGCCCTCACTCACGGGAACAGGCTCAGGGGTCATGCAGCTGTTTGGCGCTTTATATTCGCTATCAGTTTTTAGGAGTTACCAACTGATTTTGGCTAAATTTGTTACACTGATGTGTAGGGTATTGGGAAACATTTTAGTTTTAAGGTTGATTAATAATTATTCTTCTGTCTTTAAATAAGGTAGTGACTATTTAAAGGTTGTTTTACACTGGTAGACCTTTAATTTTTAATAAATGTAGTGTGTAGGGTAATCTGAGACTATCATTTAATGATGGTCTACAGTCTCCAGAAATTGATTTAGATTTGCTAGATGCAATCTAAAGAGTAAATTTCATGTTTTTTTAGTTGAAATATACTTCACATATGTTAAAATGCCTAGATTTTAAGGGTTCAGCTCAGTGTGTATCTCTGTGTAACAGCTACCCAAATGGCGATAGAGAGCATGTCTGTCACCTCAGAAATTTGTCTCGTGTCCTTTTCCCCATTGTCATGCCCCCTCTGATTTCTGCCCATCATAGGTTAGTTTTGCCTGTTCCTGGACTTGCTGTGAGTGGGATATGCAGGATGCCCTTTTTCTGAGTGCTTCTCTGCACAACACAGTGCTGTAGAGAGTCATCCGTGCTTCCGGGCTCTTGTGAGACCCCTGGTTCCTCCTCCTTATCTAAAGAGATGTGGCATCGCTTGTCTGATGGTGGAGCTCCGTCTAGCCTCCTTCTGGAATACCCGTGTCAGATGTGCTTGGCGGTGAGACGGAGTCAGTTGTGGCGTCGTCGTCAGAATTCGTTCTGTGGGTTTAGTTGTTAACAATCTCAGAGAGCGATGGTGTTAAACACGTTAGTGTTGCATGGAAGCAACAATGTGAAGTGAACAGTGGTGATGATCTTTCCAAAGCTTATAAATCTTGATGGCAAATAATCCTTCTTCTTCATCTGTTGTAGGTGCTACAGAATATTTTGGATACAGAAAACGAATATTCTAAGGAACTTCAGACTGTGCTTTCCACCTATCTACGGCCATTGCAGACCAGTGAGAAGTAAGTTAGACGATAAATTGTGTTAACTGTGAAATAGTCGTCACCTTTGGTGGTCCCCTTCTGTTTTCAGAGAACAGAGGGTGAAACACGGGAGCAGAGCTCAGCGGACAGTTTGCCTTAGACATAAGCAGTTTATTAGGTTAGACTTTAATAGGGCATTGAGGTGGGAGACGAGAGGAATATAAGTGAAATTGTTGACATATTTTTATTGCTCTTTTTCTTGACTCTAGGTTAAGTTCAGCAAACATTTCATATTTAATGGGAAATCTAGAAGAAATATGTTCTTTCCAGCAAATGCTTGTACAGTCTTTAGAAGAATGCACCAAGTAAGTGAGACACTAAAAATTTGCAAAATTCATGTTGATTTAACTGGTATTTAAAGGATGATGTTTAACGTAATTTTAGAATTCATAATTTTTAAAGATGGAAACTAGGTTATTTTGACTCTTTTGGGTTTATCAACTTTTATAGTAAAAGCTGTGTTTTAGACTAATTTTTTTTGGTGAGGAAGAGTGTCCCTGAGCTAACGTCTGTGCCAGTCTTCCTCTATTGTGTATGTGGGATGCTGCCACAGCATGGCTTGATTAGCAGCATATAGGTCTGTGCCCGGGATCCCAACCCACAAACCCTGGGCCACTGAAGTGGAGTGCGTGAACTTAACCACCATGCTACCAGGCTGGTAGACTAATTTTTACAGTAGAAATCTTTGAGTGAGGGATTGGCTGACTATTCAGAGAAAGGAGAAGGGCTTTATGTGAGTGGTGATTGTTAAGGTGTTGGGGGCAGGGGGTAGGTAGGGGATGAAGAACCCTGCAGAGGAGGAGAGACTGGCAAGTGATGGACCACGGAGGTGCCAGTGGCTTCATTCCTCACCTGCCGCCGTGTCCTGCACAGGGAGGTGGATCTGCACCCCCAGGAGACTGGGTCTTCCCAGCATTGTCCTCCAGTGCGCATTCTTCCTGGCTGTCAGCATGCTCTCAAGTGAAACACAACCTATGTGACATGCTCTTCTGACGTCTTAGGGACTTGGGTTTGTCACTTTTCGGTGATTGTTTTGGTGAGGGGGCATGTTCCGCACATCAGCCATCAGACTGATTTTTTCTGTGTGACCATTTTATGTTCTCTAACATCAGACATTAAAGGATATTTGCTAAGTGCCTGCCAGGTGCTGGATGGCTTAATCATGGTACCCCCGAATAGTTTTTAGGCTTTAGTCCCTCAGGCGATATTGGAGTGGATTTACTGGTGGACTTGATAAAGGGAGCTGACGCATTGTATTTTTAAATTATCTTCATTTCTATAACCACCGGAAGGGCAGAAAACTTTTGTCTCTTGGACTCTGGTTGGTCTCTGGTGTTCCTTCCAGCTTTTTCCTGTGTCTTTCTCAATCTTGGAAGTGGTGAGGGGCGGCCTGCCCTCTGTGCCGCCAGCTCTGTGAGTTAAATTGGTACCAGTTTGCCATGCTGAAAGGAGGTTTGCTCCCTTAACTTTGGCTTCGAGGTCTCATCAAGGCACTTGACAATGGCAGATTTGCCCAGGAAAGCTGAATGCCAGTGTAATTAAATACTGGCTTTCAAACAGAAATTCACATTATTTTCCTTTTGCAGCATTTCTGGTTTGCAAAAAGTGGCATTACGTACACGATCATCAAAAGAGTTGTTTGAGAATCACTGTGTCGTGCACCTTTTGGTGAGTGATGGTTTGCCAGTAGCGTGGGGTCTTTATAAGAGGCTGGCGCTGTTGGGCACAAAATGGATGTAGATGTTTGCCTCACCTTTCCTACTGGCTGTAGATAATGTGGACTAAATAATATTTGTATAGTACGTTTTGTAAGACCTCTTTTGAGCCTCATATTGATAAGCCCTGATAGTCAGGGCAAGTGTTACCGTCCTCGCAGAAGAGATGTAAGCACTGAGATTCAGGGAGTAAACTAACAGACTTAAAGTCAACTATCTAGTCAGGCTCCAGTCCTTCTGTCGTCTCTGCACTCCGTGTGACTTGGACATTATTTCGGCGAGATTCCTCAAGGTTATGGTGCATTGATGTTAGGTGTTGGGTTTTCCATGGCAGCGTGGACTGTTTGAGACTAGCTTTCCTTATCAACAGTTCCCCTTCTCTTTTTTTATCAAGAATACTCTGAAAGTTTTCAGAGGTTTGGACAGAATTCAGAGACACTTCAGGGTCACATTCTCTCTCATTCCTGGATTCCTCCCCCGAACTCCAGCAGCTCAGGTTGAATCAAATCAGGTTTTCTCTTGGGGTTTCGTTGTTCCATGTGACAGACTTGGCCACCATTTGCCTAGAAGCAGAGGAGACAGGAGACAGCCCCTCCTGCAGGTCTCCCTACTGCCGATGGCTCTCGGTGCCTTCATGTGGTCATTTGTGTTTCGTTTAAAGTTTGTTTGTTATCTGCAGGAGAGTCGGTTTGAGAGGACTGACTTGGCTATAATTGGAAACGGAACCCCCTGGATTCAGAGAACCCAATCTTTTTCCTCTTTCTCAAATCACGGTCCTTCTCTCAGTGTGGGGGCTTCTTGGAAGCGTGTTTTCTGTAGCAGTTGTCTGTGCTCCCAATTCAAAACAGAGCGGACCGTGGGCTCCCTTAACACATGTTCATGCAATTTGCTGCACTAATACATACTTATTTCCGTCCCTTGTCTACGTGACTAGTTTGTCTTCATTGATTTTTCAGTCCGTTCAGAAACATACCCAGGATGCTCACCGCCTTTCTCATCATTCTCTGCGTATTTATACAGTGCCCCCTACGTGCAGACACCGTTCTGGGTGCCGATAAGGCGGATGCTGGTGGGAGACGGATGACCCTGCCCTGGTGGAGTTGGTAGTGTGGCAAGGGAGACAGATGATTAAAGTCGTGTGAGCAGTTACCAAGTGGCGTTGTGGAAACCCTGTGAAGGAAAGCAGACCGGGTGCTGCAGGCAGAATTCAGGGAAGCTCACCAAGCCCCGAGGGCCAGGAGGAGTTAATGAAGAAGGCACAGGGGAGGGGGGAGGTTTCTTCTCACAGCAGCCACTCTTGAGTCTCCGACACTAGTGGGTGTCCAGCAGTCAGTCCCCTCGCGCTGACTGCCTGGAGTCAACCCAAACCCCACAGGTCAAGGCCTCAGTCCCACAGCACTGCCCCCACTTCAGACACTGGCCACAGTGGGCTACTCAGCTACCCACGTTTCTGCCTAGCCGACTACAAAGCCAGGGGTTCCCACAGCTCCCCTCCAGTTTCAGTAATTTGCTAGAGTGACTCAGAACTCAGGAAAGTGGCTTTACTTCCATTTGCTGGTTTATTATAAAGGATGTAACTCAGGAACAGGCTGTGGAAGAGCTGCCTAGGGGGAGGGAGGGGGAGGGGGATGTTGCTCCCCTGCCCTCTTGGGGTGTGCCACCCTCCCAGCACCTCCATTGGTGAGCACCTGGAAGCTCTTGAGCCCGTCCTTTAGGGGTTTGTGGAGGTCTCATTATGTAGGCTCGATTGATTAAGTCACTGGTCATTGGTGCTCAGCTCCCTTCAGGCCCCTCTCCCCGCCCTGGAGGTGGGGGCTGAAAGTTCCAACCCTCCAGTCATGTGGCTGGTTCCTCTGGCAGCCAGCCTTCATCCTGAAGCTGTCTAGGGGCTGCCAAGAGCCACCTCAGTACCAAACTCTGTGTGGTTGAAGGGACTCACTGTGGGGAACAGAAGGCACCGCTGTCACTCAGGAAGTTGCAAGGGTTTTAGGAGCCTGGTGCCAGGCACGGGCAAAGACCAAATGCGTTTGTTATGGTAGCACAGGAGGAGAGAGCCCCAAGGCGGGAGCTTGCTGTGCCTGAGCCTGTGAACCAGGGAGCTGAGTCGGGTAGTACGAGGGGCCAGAGCAAGGTCGCCATGTCCTCGGGACCTTTTAAAGGATTATAGACAACTTTGAAAGAGTAGTTAGAAACCATCAGTGGATTTTAAGTTTGGCGGTGTCGTGATCAGCATTCTTTCATAAAGTAGAGCAGCCAACTTAACTGCTGCACCCCCAGGCTGGCCCCATGAGTAGGTTTTTAAAGATGAGAAAGTCTGGGCACAGAGAGGTTGATTGACTTTTCCCAGGGGCACACAGCTAGCAACTGGTGGTCTAAATTGAGAGCCCTCAGGCCCCATCACCCACATCCTAGCTCCAGTCACTGTGAAAGACCACCGATTCCGAAGACTCCTTTCCCGGAGAGTCTCTGATTTAGGGTTTTACTTCTCAGCATCACTTTGGCCTGCGGGTTCTCCCCAGGGCACTGCCTCTTCATGCTAATGCTTGCTGGAGCAGGCCCCGCCTCGCTGTCAGCCCTGACAGAGATGGGATGGCTAGTGCTCACCAAGATGGTTTTGAAATACTCTTTTAGATGAGAGAGCGATCCCTATAATATAATGGTTTTATGACTATCATTATCATATCAGTATCAATAATAATGAATATATGACAGTAGGATTTAAAGAGACTTTCTTTGGGCTGGTCTGGGAATGGAAATGTGGCTTACAAAACTGTTTCTATGGGAAAATGAATTCTGGGAATCCAAAAGACAGTTTTTTCAGGTAAAACTCACTTGTAAGTTGGGGAGTGTGCTTGTATTTTATGATGAAAAGCCGGTTAAGTTCTGTGGAAAATAAAATCTCAGGGGCCCGCCCCGTGGCCTCCTTGGCGCGGACATGGCACTGCTCATCAGGCCATGCTGAGGCGGTGTCCCACATGCCACAACTAGAAGGACCCATGACCAAAAAATATATGTACAACTATGTACTGGGGGGATTTGGGGAGAAGTAGAAGAAGAAGAAGAAAAAATTGGCAACAGATGTTCGCTCAGGCGCCAAACTTTAAAAAAAAAAAATCTCAAAAGTTCTTTTGCAGAATGTCCTTGTTATTGCACCAAATTTTATTCCTATTTATTCATTTTGGTAATGACATGATGCTCTTCTAATACCCCCTCTTAAAAAAATGGCGAAGTACCCTCTATTCTGTAGCCCTTCGTTAGGTGTGGTGCCAAGGTGCAGGCAGGCAGAGCGTAGAGGGGCTCAGATTTGCTCTTGAGGCAGCCGGCGCCCCCTTGCTGCACCCCGGAGCCCAGCCTGTGCGCTTCTCAGGGGCTTGTGTCGTGTGTGTCGTCGTTGCTGGGGTGGCTGCGACCCACCCTGCCACTCTTCACGGAATGTTCTGGGGTTTTCCTTTCTCTCCATCCTTGTTTTCCAGGTCCTGTCCTCTTCTTGTCTCCTTTGCATGTGCTTCCTGTGGCCTTGGCCCTGTTGGTGACGCTCAGGGCTAACAAGGTGTATCTGAGGTTAAATGATCAGGTACAACCCAGTTGTT